GAAAAATGTTCCTTTTCCTCTTCCTCATCAATCCAATGTGTACTTCACAGTGAGAGAGAGAGAGAGAGAGAGAGAGAGAGAGAGAGAGAGAGAGAGAGAGAGAGAGAGAGAGAGTATCTTCATTTCCATCCTCATCACTATCATCTTCTCATCTTATTTTCCTTTGACAAGTTGCCAGGAACAAAAAATGACCAACATGAAATTTATTGAGAGTTACACTTAAACTGAATTCTAAAAGTGAGCCAATACTTGATTCTGACAAAATCATGAATCATTTTAACCATTGAAAGTACAAGACAAAGCTGAGAGCGATGAAAATTTAGCTTAAACTTTTGCAGATAAAAATGTCCATTATAATAAGATAGAAAATAAGAAAGAGAGAGAAAGAGAGAGAGAAAGAGACAGATAATGAATGAATCTTGGAACTTGTTCTGACAGTGGAGAAAAAGATAAATTAGAAAAAAACAAAGTTCTCCATATTTGTTAATACCCATTTCTCTTGTTGATATATATCGAATAAACTTAAATAATCAATTACTAAGAATCTTCTTTCTCCATCACTGACAATGTACTGATGATGATGATTATGATAATTGCTCTGATAATTGTGATGATGAGTAGCGATGATTATGAGAGTAAAGTTACGAAAAAAAAAATCAAGTCAATTTATCACAATCTATTTTTGGCTTGAGGCCATTTTGAAAACCTTATCCGATCGCAACCGAACCAGGAGGTAAACAGTAACACTTGACCTTAATTTATTAATATCCATTAGTAATTGTTTTCTACCTGTAAACAATAATTAACCTTAGCCAACGATTTGATTGCTAGTCTCTTTTTTACGAGCTTCTTTTATTTCTTAACGATCGCTATTTGGTTTCTTGAGCTTTGGAAATCGTTGATTTATAGTTACCGTTCCAGCATTTTAACGAAAACTGTCAACTTTATTCAAACAAAGTTCTCGGTCCCTTTTTCTTACCTGTAAATTTTAAATTGTATCTAATTTGGTCTTTCCTTTTCAAGGTAAATCAAATTTATTAACCAAATCAGAGTGTATCCAAGTCAGAAAATATAATGGACACACCAAACAAAGTTATCAACTTTTAGAATCCAACAGTTTCTATCTCATTACTTTTTCAGAATTGATTTTAATCACAATTTATTGAGATCTTTTTTTTATTATCATCTATTCAAATTCATTGGTACTTAATCACTTTTATTTGCTTACCTTTTTTTTTGCTCTCTCAACACGTCATGTCCATTATCCAGTATGATAAAGTGACCTCAAGTTATTCGTGGATAAGTTAATGTTGATTCATTATTATTATTTTTATGTGTATCGTTGATTAGTATTTCAATCTATATGTACTCTTAATTGGTTAATTGTGATGATTTATCATCGATAGAGTTAATAAATTAACAAGCTGTGTTATTTACATAAACATTATTACCATATGATGATCATTAGTTTCCAATAGTTTTTGAATGTATAATAATAACTTTAACCATTTCAATTTATAGTTTTGTTGCTGTTAAATTGTAAGTGATGATTAATAACCAATCATGTTAATGAGAGACTTTGTAATTTTGTCACAATTTTAAAATTTTCGAGTAAAAATTAAACAAACTTCAAGGTTAATTAAACAGCTATCAACAAAAAGTTATTCTGTTTTAATAACAATCTAGAAATTAACTGTTGTTCACACTACAATGATGCTCATTAAATAAGTTATCGGAAGATGAGAATGTTTAATTAGCTAGTAAATTGTATGGATCATGTAATCGGATGAATTGAACAGTTTTCATGAGAATCTCGAACCTGAATCTTAAAGGTAAAGATAGAGGAGATTATAAATATGAACAAAAGAATTGAATTCAATTGAAATCATTGAGTCAAAAAACAGAAAATATCATATGAATGATGTCTTCATTAAGATCAGTTGACAAACACTCCCAATAAAAAGATATGAATATAATTAGTATCGTGTATAGATTTTCAATCCAATTTCAAATTGATCTTTATTTTTTTTTTTGCTACTTTCAACAATCAACTTACCCTTAATCCTCCTCCTGCACATACAATTAACCTCCCACTTGGTCGTGCACCAATGAATCAATACGTGTTTATATTATTACTCTCAATGATTAAGTTTAATTCAAACTTTTTTCTCCTCTCCCTGTATTCATCTTGTTCATAATCATCTAATAAATTGACACAATACTTCGTGGTAATACACACATATATAGATAATAATCCAAGAGTAAACGGTCAACTAATTTTTGGACATTTACCTTTCTGTCCATTCATTTTGATCATCAACATCATACTCATTATCAGAATGTTATTCATCATGATAATCATATTTCCAACTAACACCCAACCTGAATGGTAACAAATCAACTTACACTAACAACTTCATTATCTGATATTGTAATTCATTCATTCATTCATTCATTCATTATAATTCATTAATTATTACAACGAGAATGAGCAAAAAAAAAGACAACTACAAAACTCACTGAATGTGTAACCACATGAAAGGTTTACTATACTTATTATATCAGGGTAAAGATAATGACCTAACCATGACCACTATGTAGATGAGATAGAAATGAAAAATATTATGTGTTGAGAATCTAATATTACATTGTTTTGGGAACACTTGAATATTAGATAATCTAATACATGATGATGATAATCATCATGATCATAATTTCATGATCATTATTCTGAATAATGGAAACATTTCAAAAACGTGATCAATTGTACAATCAACGTTATTTCATTTATAATAATGTTAATTGAGTTATTATCATATTATAATTTATGAAGGTAATAACATTTGATATCTCAATTTAATACATCTCGAATTGGATACATTAATAACAATGATAACAATTAACTCTCAAGATAATCTATTAAATATCGATGTTAATAATGATAATAATACCAGTGAGAAATCAAATGATTACTGATTGTAAATAATATCAATTAAGATTATAATCAATTGTGTAAATATCAATAAAGTTTATCTTAACAGTTTAAATGGGATAATTGATGATTCTTGGCAATCAAATGATTATTATTAATTATGGTTAGTTGATTAGTGTTATTATTATTATTACAATGATTATCTCAGTTATAGTTACATGATAATTAGTAGAAACTTTTTTTTTGTTTTTTCTTTCTTTGTGATTATAAAACATGATAATTATTCACAGGGAGAAATTTTTTTTAGACCAAATTATTAATATCATGATCATTATCATGATGAATATTACAAAATTCTGAACACGAATTAAACTTCCATTCCGGTGGTAATAGTTTTAAAACTCTGAAACCTTTTTATTTTATATTATCAACTAATTATTATTATCTCAGTTAACATATTCTATGTCATTGATTGATTGAGATGTCAACTTTATATCATCAACCTCATCACACTTTTCAGAGTCACAGAACTTTTTTTTCCTGCTACTTATTCATTCAATTCTGTTAAATTTCCCACTTTCTAATTAATAATAATCATCGTAAAACTAGTATTAAATTAACTAGGACAAAAAGATGATGTTCCTCATGAAGAGAATGATAATTATCATGAAAATTAGGCAAGTTTTTTATTCTCTGGAAGAAAAAAATTGTAAGTATTTTCACCAGAACTTTTGAGAAGCATTTAGATTGTATTCTGCTGAGAGAAGTGTTAGAGAGATGGAATATTTTTCTTCTATTGCTTAAGTTTAATGTAAAAATTACGCTAAATTAAACTTGAATGAAATTCTTAGGAGAAAAAGAACTTTTTTTTCTCTCTCTCTCTTTGGGATGGAATAAAAAATTCTCCAAAAAGAAAAAGTGATTTTTTCATCATCATCATGCTTTCGGGTTCTATTTTTTTGCTCAATAGTTAACACTCTCACTCTCTCTCTCTCTCTCTCTCACTTTTCCTCTTTATTGTTATTACTAGATCATTGTGTTGGTGTAACATCATTACTGGAATTGTGATTCCGTTGAACCGATGAAATTGAGTCTCTCCACTGATTTAGTTATGGTTGGAACAACAAGAACAAAATCAAGGCGATAAAGAGAAAGTTAATTTCTCATCAAGAATTAACATCAGCTGATGATTCTGACTATCTATATCATTGAGTAATCATTATCATGTTGATTCAATCTTGATGACTGATCAGTTTTGTCGGGTTCAAATTGTCACCATGAAAACCATTTTGTACAACATACTTAATATTGATTAAACTTTTCTCCTTTAATATTAGGTTATCATGATTCACTTATATCACTTCCTTTTCGTTGGTTGATTAATATGTTTTCTCATGGTGATTATGACAAATTTTCAAGACTATCAAATGATTAATTGATTAAATTGCTGTTATTAGTCATTCTCATTTCAAGGTTTCCAGTCTTACTATTTTCTTGGTGATAATAACACTGATCAATATTTACTATTGGAATTATCCTCTTATAATACCAAATTTCATGATTTCTTTTCTGGTTAATAGTAATATCCCAATCTATTAATATTTACATCAAATGTTCAAGTTCATTAATCAACTGATTTGATTGTAATTAAAGCTACTTGCGCCATCTTGTATATGGTTAAGCTACTAATAGTTTTACGCATTTTTGGCAAACAATTTAAATTTTCCCTTCATTTCATTAAAAGTGTATTTCTATTATTTATAATTATATAATTGTATGATTTATTCCCACTGATTAAGAAACTGTTATGAAGTAAATAGTGATTTAAGAAATGATTAAAGCTATTCAAGGTTAATTTGTTAACATCATTGCTCTGGTTAATTGTGTTTCTTACCTCATCGATTGGGTGTTGAATCTTTGGCATTGGTTTTATTTTTTGTTTTTTTCCCATTTGATTGTCTATTTTTAAATTACAACTAAACATGGTTGTCAGCCAAGTTCAGTTCGGTTTATATCTGAAACTGAGCATGATGAATAACACAGGAAATAAGCTGAAAATGAATCAGATTAGCAATTAGTTGATTTACTTTTGGTTTAGTTGGTTGGTTTAAAGTTGATGCTGTTCAACTTGTGATTAGATTTTGTCTTGTTAATTGTGTCCAAATTGTTTGTTAAAAGTTATAATCCACTAAGACTTTTGAATAAGAAAGTGATTTAGTTTATTTCATTGGATTAAAGTTACATTATATCAAATGGAATAACAATTAATCAAATCACTACAAGAAAACTGTAAGTACGAATAAGATTATCTTCATAAAAGCTCATTTGTCCTTAAGTGATTCTCAATAGATGGCAACACATAATTCACCAAATTGAATTGTATTGAAGTCTCATGAGTTTTTCATGAGCTAATTTTTATTCAAATATAACTTTTTTCACCAAGAATTGAGATTAATTGTTAATGAGTAATTCCATTGATAATTTGAAAAAGTAAAGGTGAAAATATTACAATACAATAAATGTATAAATATCACAGAGATTCATTTGACAATTGTTTTTTTTACGAACGAATTAGATTAATAACAAAATGTCATCATCATGGAGATGATGAATGTTGACAAAATATGATAAAGAGAGAGAGAAAAGTTTCTAGGAAAAGTTTAACCAAAGATAGAAACTGATGATAGACATAAAGTGGTAAAGAAAAAAGTAAAGATGATTATGATTATGATGGTGATGATAATTGAGTTACATAAGAGTAAATTGATGATTGATTTAGAAAGGAGAAAATCAGAACTTTGAAAAGAAAAAGTTCTAAGCTAAATACTAATAAGGGTAAAGCAGATGAGATTGAAATTCTGTAAACAGTAAATGTCACAAGTGAACATTGAGAATTGAATTTGAGTGAAAATCCAGGTTAACGGTAATATAATAATTGTCAGTTGTAATGATAATATCATTAGATGGAAGAAAAAGTTGAGCAAGAGAGAGAGAGAGAGAGAGAGAGAGAGAGAGAGAGAGAGAGAGAGAGATAAATCAAAGTGAAAGGGAAGAGAAATAATGAAGATAAATGGATAGGATGATAAAAAGATGACGAGAAAGAAGATGAGTCAAGATGATAATGAAGACAAAATTCAGGAAGTAAAGAAGGGAAATAAATCGTTGAGAGTAAAATGTAATGATAGAGAAAAAAAATCTAACTAATAATATTTTCATGGTGATAACCTTTCCCATCTTCACAGGTTAATCATTATCTTCATCATCATTATCATCGTCATCGATTCAGATTTCATAGGTTACCAAATTTAGATGATAGTAAACTTTTTTTTTCTCTCTATCAAGGAAACAATCAAAATGTTAATTGCTAGGGTAGAAAAAGTGAATTAACAATCAAATTCTGATTCTGAACATTTGAGTCTCGGGTTCCAAGGAAACATTTAATTATCTTTAAACATTTTCACTTCTATTATTCAAGTTTATCATGAAAATTTCATATAATAATAACAACAATTTGTATTAAATTGATTCAACAATCTGAACACTTCATCTTCATTGTTTGTTTACTTTTATCACAATTTATAATATTAATAGCAATCTAATCATCTTCTTCATGCTTATTATTATCACATTTATTCATTAACTTTCTCAATGAGTTCTGATCAATTGCAATAACCTTTTTTTATTACCATGAAAATATTACATGACTGATGACGATCATCAATTCAATTGAAATACTGATTCAATTCCAAGGTAAACTGATAATTTAACTTGGAAAAAAAAGTAAAAAAGAAAATTCATATTTTCGATTTTTTCCTTCTAAATAATCGAGGAATAAAGTTCTGAAAATATTATTTTGATGATTTTTCTTTTCATTGCAAATCAATGAAAATAAACTTCACTCCCTGCAGCCTATTGGATAACTTTTTTTTCTAATATCAAGTTATCATTAAGATCAATTTAATCAAATTGAAATCTAATAATGTACACAAAATGATTGCAATTAAATTTGCTATCAATAATCATTAAGTTCATTTGAAAGTTTCAATATTTTCCTTACTCCACTAATTATTATCATCAATTTTGATCTTTCACTTTCATTATGAAATTTGATTAGTTTGTTGCGTTTTTGTTACTCTGATTTTCAATTCCGATTAACTGATTAACACTTAATCACAAATTACTTGCAATTAGTTGACTTTGTGCTAAATGGTTAAACTGATTAGTGGCAAAAGGAGGAAAATTAATCATGAGAGAGAGAGAGAGAGAAATCAATTAGTTAATTAACCAGTTCCAAGAGCACAATAAATGAATCTCAATTTTAACGATAAGATTTTTGTTAATCGATTGTAAATTTTTCAAACCTTCACCAGAATTCAATTAGTTAATTCAATTATAATTATCACGGAGCTTTAATTTACAATCAATTTGAAAGTTTTCACCATGCAATTAAATGATTATAATATTGAAATGAGAAAAAGTTGATTGTTGAAACTAATGCGTTTGTAATTAAAACTCATATCAGCCAATTTCAGTATCAATAGTTAAAAGTGACCATTGGTCAGTTTCTTCTTATTATTATTTTCTTTATTTTCAATCTATTTTATTCTATTTTATTCAATTTAATTGAGCTTAAATTATATAACAATTAAATTTGTATTTCTAATTTTAGCTCAAACAATTTGTATTACCTTTACAATAAATTGTATTATATTTTTTTTATCAATGTGTTGAACTCTCAATTTGGTATAATTAATTTAATTAGAGTTAACCATTCAGTTGTTTAATCACTTTTTACTCACATCAAACAATTAAATGGGAAACAATCAGAATCAGTTAAAGTATTAGAACTGAATGAGACGAGAAAAGCTAATGAAAAGCTCAGAACTCACATCAATACAAATTGAATATGAAAACAATGGGAAAATCTTGTCAATACCAATTATGTGTAGAAATTATAAAACAATTAAAGAACAACAATTAACGACAATCGAAAAGTTTAGTAATATTAACAATCCAAAAATAGTGAAACTCGAGGGATAAAGAAGGCCAAGAAAAAGCTTTCCCTCCAAATTCTGTCAAATGTCAAACAGATTCTTGTAATGCTAATAGTATACTCCAAATATCGTGTAAATGTTTAGTGATATTATCAATCAACTGAACTTTTTTTACTCTCCATTGATTGTTATTAGTTGTGTTTCTTTTGAAATTTTAATTCACTTTTTAATAATATATCGACAAATAATGTTTCTCCAAAAGGCTGATGTCAGCTTTTGATTTTGATTTTTTTTTCTTTTAATTTGGTTATTAATACATTTTCGATGTTATTTTGATCGATAGCTATTGAATGTTGCTTTTGTTGCAGATATTCAAAAGCAAAGCAATATCCTCATTATCATCTTCATCTCCCTTCATCATCACTTTAATCCACATCATCAGGTATAATTCAGTTGAATGGAAATTACAAAAAACCCGAATGATATTGGCAAGGATCATGATGATGATGATGATGATGATAGAAACAATAATATCATATACGGAATAGCAATCTTATTTTTACCTTGCAAATAAACAGACTCATATGTATGGTTGAAGGAGAAAGATCAATAAACTGTAATATTATTGACAAGTTTACATAAAAATTGAGAATAACATTCAGCTCAGAATAATATTTATATTAACAGAGATAAAAATATATCTTATATTTATTTATTTTTCCATGAAAATATTATCGGAAAATCATTTACACGTTTATTGACCTTTCTCAAGTGTATCTATTTGTTGAATAATTTTCTGTTTATCTATCGATAATATTGACAATAATTTCTTTACGATGACTCTAATCCTGGAATTTTAATCATTTTCAAGCTAATATGTTGTAGATATATTAATATCTAATTTTAATTAAATATTCGCAACTACAGATAGCATAAAAAACAATCTGAACGAAAGTCGATAGTCTCAATTATTTAAAGTTTACATATGAATAAATTATCAAAGTGTTAATATTACATTAGGTAAGTGGAATTGTGATTTTGCTTGATTGATAACCATGATTGTTTCATTGAATTTTCTCATTGATTTGATTTGATTGTAAACCATTATTCTTTTATCATGATTGCTCTGAACTTTTCTTCCTTCTTTAACTTATTCTATCTCTTCAATTGTCTTCTTCTTCTTCTCTCTCTCTCTCTCTCTTTCGGTCTCTAACTTCTTAAAATGAACAAGATCAACACCAAATTGATGTAATATTTGCACCGAAACATGTAAAGTCAATCAGACAAATTACAGAAAAGGTGAAATAGAGGTAATTTTTTCTTCTTCTTCTCGTTTTACCTTAAGGAATGTTAACCATTTACAGAATGAATGAAAATCTCTGGAAATAAGAAAGTAAAATGATGATAATGATGATGTAGGAAAAGTATAAAAAGACATCATCTAGTAAACTGAACAATCATCATCATCATCAACGACGTAGGTTTTGTTGTTTGAATGGGTATGAAATTACTCAAAGAGACAAGAAAATAATCATCAACTAAATGAACAACATGGGATATTAATTATCAGTTTAAACATTTTCCATTTCAACTAATACTATCGGTCCCATCGACATTATCACCTTATCATCATATCTCTTGATTCATTTGTAGCAAATAATACATAATATATAACATTAGAAATCATGATAAAAATGATGATGGGACAAAAGTAGAGCAGAAAAAATTGTAACATGAAATGATTACATAAATCAGATTGTTTTTTATTGATATGTTGGCTATGTTATCATCATCACCATCATGATAATGATGAAAATATATCATGTTTGAATCATGTTGCCCTCTACTCATGGGTATCATCATTTTACTTATCATTAACATCATCATCATCTCTCTCATGATTACTTAATGCTGTTCTCATATTATACTAAACGTATACCGTAACTAGTGTATATGACCAAATACTTGAGGATATATCAGACATACTATCATTTGACAATTCAGAACTCTAGTCTCCATGGAAACCAAATAGTTCGTACAATGATTTTTGATGATATCTCTTCTTAGCAAGTTCAGCGATGAAGAAAATCATTGATTCATTTCATGAACAGCAGAAAAGAGAGAGAGAGTAAGAGAAAGACTTGACAATCGTAACTGATAATGATTAACTATTTGATAAAAGAAAATGAATGAAAAAGTTACTCAAATGAAGATAATGATGATGTTTATCGTCATAATAATGATCAACTTGACCATCATGGACAAAGAAATGAAAACTGAGTTATCCACGAAAAATAATAAGTTGATAAGAAATTCCTATTCGTTGTATTCAGTTCAAAAATATTTTCTCATCATCTTTTTGCCTTTTTTTATATTCTCATAAAAAAATGTTTGAAATTTTATCACTGTTACTATGATTGAGAATACATAATATATAATTCAGATTACATGAAGTAAAGTAATAGTTTACATGGTGAGAGAGAGAGAGAGAGAGAGAAATAGAGATTGAAAAGTTCAATTCTAAAGTAGATATTTATATTTATATGAAAAGTAAATTATTACATAAGGTGGAATCTTTTCCCTCCTCCCAATGTTACTAATGATGGATATAAAACTTTCAATGCTGACTGAATATTTTTCAGTTGACTTGAGATAAACATTGAATTTTTCATTGACAATCTAATAGGTTATTAATTTATCATATGAAAAGAAAATGATATTGATATTATTTTTTTTTCTCTCTCTCTCCCATGACTAAAAGAGAAAAAAGTTTCAAGAGAAAGAAAGAGTACATTATCATGGCGATTATCATTCAACTTGTTGACTTTTATATTTGGTAATAAAAATAATTTATCGGTTGAGAATAAGAGTAACAATGGATCAATGAATTTTCATCATGGTAAAAACTTGCTTGATGGTTTTTCCCTCATTTCTTATATGAATCTTTAGGGAATGAAAAATTTATCATGATAACTCAGGGTAACTATTTCCGGAATTTAGATAGAGATGATGAAGAGGAAGAAAAAATTAACTTGATTGAGCTTCCAGGTTTGATGCTGGTTATTTAGTTTTTCATGGTGTTACAATTTGACTGATACATGATATATTGTAACAGTTTCAATCTCAAGGATGATGATGATAAAGATGATGGTAAGACAAAAGCTTCAAGAGTTAACCCCAGGGAGTTATTATTATTGTTATTAATTGTCAGATGATTAATCAAATAAAACTCATTATATGTATCATCTAATGTAATAACAAATACTAATCATAAGCGATAGTAATCATTATTTATCTTTCAATTTGTTTTCTGTTGTTGTAATCAGAAAATCGGATGATGATGATGATGATGAGAGAAATGGCAAGTGATGGGGAAGATGAAAAAAGAAGAAGAAGAAAAATCAAAGCAAAGGTAATGGTAATTCTAGTTCTCTAATAATCTTTTCATGAACAAAATCTCACAGATTATCGTAGGAAAAGTTTAGATCATTTCATCATTATCTTCATCATTGAATCTTCCCCAGCAAACAATTAATTCTTTTATGATGATGATGATTATGATGAGGAAAATGAGAGAAAAAAATCTTCTCCTCGATGATTACAACACTATTAATAGACTTTGATCTCATTTACCTCATTTACCCTCTCCCACCACAGCGACTGATGAAATGTTATTACATACAAACTATTAAGAGTACATACCCTGTGTATCCCTTAATTTTTTTTGATAATCAAATTCATAATCTCTTCTTGATTACATGTAAAAGAGTAAGGAAGAAGCAAAAAAATTCTATCGAATAAAATTATCTAATAATAATGTCTAAGCTTGATGAATAATAATATTCAATTTACTCGATGAATTAACTTTCTTATTCTCATCATCATGCTACTCATGATCGATGTGTATCAGTAAATGAGATAAAGAATAGAGAGAGAGAGAGAGAGAGAGAGAGAAAGAAAGAAAGAGAGAGAGAGAGAGGAGAAGTTCTAGGATAAGAAGAGAAAAAAAATGCTAAATTGTAATGAAAAGTATATTTATCGAAAAGAAGTAACAACAAAAAAAAAGCTTGTTGGCGGTGAATGAGACGATGTTGATCATGATAATGATGATGATACATTACAGATAGTGATGAAAAAATGACAAAAGAAGAAGGGTTGAGAATTTGCAAATTCGAAGCATGAAAAAAAAGATGCAAATAACTTATGATGATCAACACTTTGGATAATTTTGCTTATATAAACAAATAGATTGAAATTATTATTGCCAAGGAAAAGTGAATTGGATTATGATGATGATAAGAGGATATGAGATGGAAACAGGTCAATAGCATCAAAATTCATCATGAGCAAGAAAAAAAGGACGAGGATGATATGGTTAAGGGTCTGAAGAGTATTTTTATGTATTTTTGAGTTCTGAGAATTTTTCAACGCTCTCTCTCTCTCTCTCTCTCTCTCTCTCTCTCTCTCTCTCTTTCTTTCTTTCTTTCTTTCTTTCTTTCTTTCTTGCCTTTGACTATAAATGATATTAGTTTTAGGTATTCATTAGAATCCTGAAAGGTAAATAAATCTCATTGGAAATATTATATTCGGCTGACCCAAAAATCAATCGTTAAGATATGTATTAAGTGAAAGAATCAAAGCTATAAGATAATATCATTCGAGCTTGTTTATTTTTTTAGCCTTTTACTCGAGTTTAAGAAGAAAGAAGATGAAAGTTGATGATGAAAATGAAAATGGATGTAAAAGCTGGTTGGAAGAAGAAAAAAAGAAAGAAAATGGAGAGAAAATGAAAGATTCCGAGGAGATTACGATTTTCTGTTATCAACTGATTGGCTCCAGTGTTTTTTTTCTGTTAAACCCTGTAAGTTTTTGCTCGATTCGGTTGTCACAACTAATGAGGTTTATCAGCAATACAGATTGATAGAGGAGAAAGAGAAAGAGAAGGAGTAAGGGAGTGAGAAAGAGATTGAATGATGACTCTGTTCGGAGAAGAGATGATGAAATGTGAAAACCCATGGTGAAAGCATCAAAATAACAACAACTTAATGAGCTTATATAAGCTGAACATGATGGTGATGAACATTTTACACTGAAAGTGACCAACGAAAAATGGCAGTTGAATTGATTCAAAGGTCATCCAGCAACAGAGAAAAAAGAAGAAAAAAATGATAGACAAATTTTTTTGTCCATTATCCATTTTATTTGAGCCACTTTAACATGCTTATAATTTTTGTTTTCTTTAGTCTTGTACATTGTGTATCAATGATTTCATCTTTATCCCATTTTCATCAGATTCTGAAGGAAATTATAAATCTGTCCACCTCTTAATTGATGGTGACTACCTTGTAGTCGTAAATGCAATACCGACCATCAACAAGAGTCTAAAAATATTTCTCCCTTCTCTTCATCCACAATCAAATCTACTTTGATTTTTCTTCCTTTTCCTTGCAAATTAGTCTTGACATTCTCATTTTTGACCTCCATCATGATACTCTAGGCAAATATAGTAAATATTATACATTGAGAAGCCATTACAAAGCTACTTTTTTTCTTTCTAAATCAGAATATATTCATCGAATGACAAATTCCAATTTATCATAATCATAAAATTTTAAGGGATCAACTTAAATACCTCATTAACAATTAAAACAATAGCTTAAACATCATCTTCTAGCAATTGCTAGAAAAAGTGAAGCTTTGAATGCTTTAAAGCATTTTATGTAACGTAATGCATAAGTACGAAAAAGTAGTGAAAATGTACCAATTTCGCTAAAACACTGCTCTTATGCCTATTTAGTGATTTTATTACATAACACTATTCTTCTTACATTATTGGATGGCCCGAATGAAATTCAAGGTTTAGTAGAAAGAGGGACAGAATAATAACTAATGAAAAATTAAATATGCAAAGTTCAAATCCAATCTAATGATTTAGTTATCCTAGTGTTTGTCATTATTATCTTCTTTACCTACAAGATCACCTTGAACTTGACCTTATTACTCATATAAACTTATCAAGGGTGATATTTACGTTGTTTCAACGTATCTTATCATTTCAGGAATATCCATGATCCATGAAACACTCTCTTTTCAGTGAATTGTTCAATTATCTCTTTGATTTCTAAGAAAATTTCATCTATTGAATAAAGGATATCAGTAGCAGATAAAAGCGATTTGAATAACGATGGAACATTTCTTTAAACAACCTCGTCCATATCCACTTTTTGGAACAGCAAGAGAAGTCATGTGTTTAACCGGCCTAATTCTTGTGATAGCGAGAGAGATTGTACATTGAGATTGTGAATTGGACAAGCATAAAAGTAAACAGTAAACCAAGACTATGAGAGACAAATTCAATCACACTACATGGTAGTCACCAGGCTTATTCTAATTTGAAGATATTTTAATGAAAATGTAACCTATTATTAGGTTGACTAGAAATTAATGTCGGATATTGAGATACTAATTGTTAATAATATTCTAATTGAATAATTTAAAGGATTAAAATAATTAAAAGTAAAGGAAAATATTTTGAAAAGATTGGTAGTAATCAAGTATCTTTTTTCGTGTTTTACGAACTTGAGTTTTTCTTGTATTTTGAGGTCAAAATGGAGCCGACATCAAGCGAAATCCGTTACGTTTTATTGAATCGATTTAAAAATGGGGACAATGCGACTCAGGCCCATAAATATTTGTGTTTTTCTTATGATTCTAGTGTATTGAGTGAAAGGCAATGCCAAAGGTGGTTTCAAAAATTCAAAAACGGTCATTTTGAGGTCAATGATAGCCCAGGACGGGGACGGAAGTTGACCTTGGATATTGAATTATTAGGCCAAAAAATTAGTGAAAATCCCCGACAAACGACTCGCGAATTGGCTACGATATTGAATTGTGCTCAACAAACTATCGTTAATGGCCTGAAAAGGTTAGGGCTCACGTGCAAACGTGGAACGTGGGTTCCACACGAACTAACGAGTTCTAATAAGGAACTAAGAGTTTCAATATGTCGATCTCTATTAGAACGACAGAAAATTGACCCATTTCTCGAACGTGTAATTACTTGTGATGAGAAATGGGTCCTTTATGATAATGTTCATTGCCATAAACAATGGCTACCGAAAGGTCAACTCCCGGTTCCGACCGCTCAACCCGGATTACACCCCAAGAAAGTTTTGATTAGTGTTTTTTGGGACTACAAGGGGATAGTCCACTTTGAACTTTTACCTGAGGGTCAAGCAATAAATGCTGAAGTTTATTGTCAACAACTTGACCGATTAAATGAAAAATTATCGACTGAAAGGCCATCTCTGGTCAATCGCAAAGGGGTAATCTTTCATCAGGATAATGCTCGACCTCATACCGCATCTTTGACCTCTAATAAAATTAAAAATGACCTCAAATGGGAACTATTACCACATCCTCCATATAGCCCTGACTTAGCGCCCTCAGATTATCACTTATTCAGGTCACTTGAACATTTCCTTCGGAATAAAAAGTTCGAAAATAGAAGCGCCCTCTACAATGGCCTTAAGACATTTTTCGACTCTAAAAGTCCAATTTTTTTTCGGAGAGGAATTTTTAATATTATTAATAGATGGCAAAGAGTTATTGATTCCGATGGTGAATATTGTATTTAATTATCTCTTTCCGTCTAAATCTAATTAACAATTAAAAAGTGATTAAAAAACCGACACTAATTTTTAGTCAACCTAATATGTTACCAGCTAGACCAACTTTGCGCGTCAGACACAGATGAAGCAGATAGAAATTTAGTCCTTTCTGTCTGTGTATCGTGTGGTATGAAAGTAGAACGCTTGGAGCACAGATCGTTTTCTTCGATTACATTGAAGTAATAGTTAAGGTCTTTAACTAAAAACTTGATTTTATTCATGATTTGATTTAGTTTTTATACATAATTTCAAGTAAGCTAGAGTGAAAATCTCACCATCATCTCATCACTTAAGATGAGGTGAGTTAAAATTTTGATGATGTTTCTTAGATCATTTAAGATTATTTTTGTTAAAATAATCAATTGATGAATTTTGCTTGATTAACAAAATAATTGTTACATATTCCTCCTGTAAATTAATAACAGTATAATAATGTAACGTAAAAAAGTTACTTGATGAGTGATAAATGAATTAAATAAAGTGAGAACACAATGAGAAGAACTTTAACTTTTATAATTGAACTTTTATTATCCAATGGTTGATTAAATGATTGTAATGAATTACAGAGATTATTGGAATGGGTTAACTTAATTAAAGGGATGATGACAAGATGAAATCTATTAGAATGTTTTAACTTGAATGTTGTGATGATTCTAAAAGAAGTGAACATTCTATTAGTAAGTGATCTGGTTTTATACAGGATCATCGAGAGTCACGAGTGTCTCGTGAGTGGAAGGTTTATTCATCTTTGTCGGTTAGTAATAAAGATTTAGGTTGATTAGTAATTAATGATTATGATCCAAATCAAGTAAAGACCATACATTGATTAACACAAGTTATTGATTATGGAAGGAAGTAATCCTAAATAAGGGTTAATTGGTTATTGATTATTGATAATGGACGGATTTATCCTTGTACGGGTTTGTAACCAGTGATGAATAATTAGATCGAAATTTACGTTACATTTCCCCGACTAGAAGTTGAAACGACAGTAGTTAATCTTTTATTTGGCTATTTGGGAACATTCTATAATTCCTGGTGATCGGATCATCAATCCACAAGACATTGGTATCGGACTAGTACTAGTTAGACTAGCTGGGGGGAAGATAAGTTAATTGAGGTCCAAGAGAAAGATGCCGTTATTAATAAAAAGGAACATTGTTTTTTATACGAGTGTGCATATTGTGGCAGTTCTTGGCCGAAGCTCACACAATTGATTTACCATTTAATCGGCCGGAAAAGGGATAAAAATCAACGCTATGAGAAAATAACTTTCGAGGAAAGAGTCATCGTGGATGAACTCGAATCAACATAAAGAGTTCCTCCAAGTGCTAAAAAAACCCTTTTCTCATGGGGGAAAGTGGTTTTTACCAATCCAGATTCATTCACTGATATCATTGATCCAGCAACTGGCGAGGTTACATGATTTTGAACATCCTGAAGATTTAAAAACGGCCTGGGATAAAGTTATGGTTGATCGACGAGTTGACTCGAGCAGGGGTCGTAAAAAAATCAATGTCTAATATTGTAATCTTTCTTTGATTCTGAGTATTAAAAAATGCATTTTTCTTGTCTGAAATTGAAAAATTCTTTCGTTTCTCTCTTTTTTTAACGCCATTAGCAATAATTAGATTGATAAACTAAAATGACTGTTGTTGATATTTATGATTGTTTGATTATGATTAATTTCGATAATTACAATTAATGATTCATTTCCTCTGGAAAACTTTAAACAATTATTACCAGGAAACATTAATAATTAATTTCTTTTATTGCTTTGACTAATCGGAACTGTCTGTATCTAAAAAAGGTTTATTGCTTATTAAAAATGATCGTTAATCGGTTTGCTGGGTATAAATTCTCGGTATATTCATGGAGAAGCATTAGTTACAAGTTGTCTCTGGTTTCACGTTTATCTCTGTTTTAAGTCTTTTAACTGTTTCTTTGTTTGTGTTTCAATTCATATCTTCTTCGTTATGGTGTAACGAAATTATTGATCATTGTCTATGTTTCTTTTATGTAACCATGGGGATGACCATGATACTCATGGTCATTCATATAATGAAACGATAATAGTTTAATTATTGATTATAATAATGCTCTAGAAACTTCTGAAGGTGATCATGATCAGAGTATCATGATCTGTGAATCCGTTTTTTCAATTGTGTTATTCTAATTGTTTGAATTACAATTGAATGTGTGAATTGTTCTAGTTTAAATTTGAATTCGATTAAAACGTAGGAGATGGTACCTTGTGGACTGGTTGTTGTGTCAACAGTCACCTCCTCCTTATCCAACTCATTGCGCTATTGGTGGCAAGGGAGATGGTTTCTTAAATTACGTGGCCGATGGATCCATGGGAATTTTATATACCAAATTCTAGTTTAAATATAATTAATTATGTGATAATCAAGTTAACGGAGATCTTATTGTAATTTCTCATTCTAACTTTGGTTAATGTTGATGAAAATTTTGAGAGAATTTGAATGAATCATTTGTAAATTAACATTATTAATGTTAATGTTACCATATTATATGTTATTTTTTTGTTATTAATCTAACTGTATTAGCTGTTTTCTGCTTTTCAACAGTAATCAAAAGATGACTTCTGAGGTGTTAAAGGATAAAAACGATAACTTCGTTAAGGTGGTAGGTATTGCCATTGATCAAATATTGACGCTGAAGAAAACATTGAAACGACCTGCTCCTAAATCGGTCAAGGAAAAGATCGAGGGTAAGATCAAAGGTAATCAATTACTGATGAAATACGCTTATTTTCGCTGTTCGGGAATTGAGGATGAAATCAATGGTAAATTCGAAGATCAGGCGAAAATTTTGGAAAAAGCTCGTGAATGTTTATTAGAATTTGCTGCTTTATTTAATGTATTTAAATTTGATGTACCTGAAGATGTTCTTAAGTTTATAATTTCTGAACATAATCAAGTTTATTGTAACTCTGAATATGTAAAGGTTAATATACGGTACGAATAATACTGTATTGGTGTTTTTGTCGCATTCGATGTGCTTGTTTTATGCAAATATTGTGTTTATTGTTTTATCGATTAATGTTACGAAAGAGACCTTTCGTCTAAAAGACGGGGGTAATGTAACGAAATTATTGATCATTGTCTATGTTTCTTTTATGTAACCATGGGGATGACCATGATACTCATAGTCATTCATATAATGAAACGATAATAGTTTAATTATTGATTATAATAATGCTCTAGAAACTTCTGAAGGTGATCATGATCAGAGTATCATGATCACCTTCGTTACATATTGTAATACAATGTATTATTTCAGTCCCCATTCCCTCTTCCCTTAGTCAACATTAAAGTTTAAGTCTTTATCTTATATTAAATTGTGATTAGTTAATATTGTTAATTAATAAGGTGAATTACGAAACATTCGTTTCAATGGGTTAGTTTTTTATCTTGTTTCTTCTTATTTGATATGTGAATTTCTTATTCTTTTTTCGATTGTGTTGTTTGTTTAGATGATGCTATTCGATTAGTAACTCTAGTCTACTCTGGAATGGAATTCTGCATGGAAGAAAGAACATGTGTCCATCGGTCAGCTAATAATAAAAAGTAATGAGCTCACTGGTTGTCGTTTTCCTAACCAGGACAAAGGGTTCGAGGCCGTAAAAGGTTACCTAAACGATATTGAAGGAGCGGAAATTTATGACAATTTCTACGTTAGACTCATGTGCCCATCATATGGTCGAGGAATTGTTTATCCAGAAGGTACTGTTAAACCTTAATCATTAATTCTATTGGTTGAAAATTAAAGTTTGAACTTTAAATTGAAATGATCGATTCCCCTTTCGCAATTGTATTTGAGTTTCAGCAGGATAACTGAGATTATAAATATGATAAATAAAGGGCAAGAAATCGGTGAAATTGATTAATATTCACGATTCGATTGCGGTTTGATTCTTAAATTTACGTAGTGTTAAAGGTAGGTAGCAAGATGATAACCAATAATTTGTATTAAATCTTCATAGACTTCCATTTATTTGCTTGTTATTTTCGGAAAAGGATTAGTTTTCAATTCATTTAATTTCAGTTCAAGTTCATGAATCAAGGTTATGATGTTGATGTTCCTTGGATCAATTAAGAGCATTCTTTATAGAATAATCAATTGATTAATTTTGCTTAAAACAAAATAATTGTTACATCAAAACAGAAAATATAAAAGATTAATCAACATAAATTACACTGAAGGGTTCTATAAAGTATGACAAATATGACATATATGATCCTGATAGTTTGGTGTCAATATCAGTTCAATTAAAGAAGAGCCGTCAACTAGAATGAAAAAAGCAGCGGTTTTGCAAATTGACATAAATCTTGGATCACCGTCAATGATTTTGAATTATAAATTCAAATTGGACCATGGAATAATTTTTGTTCTTCACAAAATAACCTTCCAATGACCTCTAGATAGGTTGCTCGTGAAACGACCTCAATGACCTTGAAACTTTTTATACGAAGTCCTTCAGTCTCGATATGTATCTGTACGAGTTTTGATCTTTTCAACTCATTTATTCTTGGCTTATAAATAAAAACCTGCGTAAAATGAAGTTGAATAGCCCTGTACAACTGATGGACTTCTTATAAAAAGTTTCAAGGTTATTGAAGTCATTTCACTATTAAAATTATTTAATTATTATCTAGAGGTAATTTGAAGATTTTAACAAAGAAGAACAAACAATTCTCCCATCTATCAAGTTTTGATGTCAATATCAGTTCGAATAACGGAGAGCCATCTAATAATAATAATTAATGAAATAAAAGCGGGTTTGCATAAATCACGTTAGAACGTCAATGGTTTTCAATTAATAATTAAAACTGGGATCATCGAAGGCTTTTTTCCTTCTTTTGGAGCTAGAAATGCTGAACAGTTCATTTGGGACACTATAAATCGCCATTAAATACTAAAAACTGTGGGAGTGGCCTTCG